GTATGGAAAACAGCTCTGGGTCACGTTCCAAATTTTCAGGATTGAAAAGTGAAACAGTTAGAAATGCTTTTGCCATGCAAGAGTGTTGATGAGCAGAGGGATAGCTTAGCAGTGACATTAATATAACAAAACTCAATAGTAAATGAAATAAAAGCGGTCTGGAGAGCTGGACAAACTCTGCCTGTACCTAATGCAATTTATACAGGGCTACTTCTCAGGCTGGAAGGGACCCGAAATATCAGCTGGTTCCAAACCTATTGACATGGTGGGATAGAAGAGTCAGGAAATTTCCTCCTTAGCAGCTGTTTCTCAGAGCATTCCTCTCCAGCTCTTCATGACATCAGCATACTTCTGTGAACACAGTAATCCAAATCTACACTCTCAATGATGTAGTTTAGATCAGCACCACATACCAGTAAGAAAATGTCACTCTGACAAGGATTTGTTCACAGAATCACAAAATATTCTGATTTGGAAGGGACCAACAAGGATCATGCTCCTGGCCCTGCACTGGACCATCCCCAAGAGTCACAGGATGTGCCTGAGAGTATCATCCAAACGCTTCCTGAACTCTGTAGGGCTTGGTGCAGTGAACACTTCCCTGGGGAGCCTGTTCAGTGCCCAACCACCCTCTGGGTAAAAATCCTTTTTCTAATGTCCAACCTAAACCTGCCCTGACACAACTTCAGGCCATTCCCTCAGGTCCTGTCACTTGTCCCCACAGAGAAGACACCAGTGCCTGCTCACCCTTGTCCTCTCACAAGGAAGTTGTAACTTCAGTGAGGTCTCCCCTCACTCTCTTCCCCAGCTGAACAGACCAAGTGACCTCAGCCACTCCTCATAAGGCTTCCCCTCAAGGCCCTTCACCATCTCATGGACATTCTCTAATGGTTTAATATCTATCTGATAGAGTGGTGCCCAAAACTGCCCCAATATTGCAGGTGAGGCACTTCATCCCCACTCTATGTGAGCCCTGTCAGTGACCAAGGGACAGAAGAATCCAGTCTTGAAACCCAACAGGGATCAAACAAGGGTCAGTCACAGAAACACAACACTGTCCTCTGCACAAAAACATCTCCGCTCTTTGTGCCACCCAACACAGACCTCCTGAACCAACATGCAAATCCTGCACACTGACACTGACACCAGGTAAGGGGATACCCAGCACATTTACATCCCTGCACCTGCCCTGCTCTCAAGACCAGAGGCACCAAAATCCCCACCACCAGCAGCTCTATAAAGCTCCTCTTTCCAGACCTGACACTCAGGCAACAGCAGACGCTGACCTGTGTTTGGCATTGGTGCAACAGCCCCCTTGTCCAGCACAGCACTGCTCCCAGCTCCCAGGATGGAAGCTTGTCACTTTCCAGAGCAATTCAATGTCACCACATACACTGCCATGGCTGTGGCCATTGTCACCCTTGAGACATTTGCTGGCATGTGGATAAATGCTTTCATTGTTTCTGTCATTTGCATGGTTTGGGTCAAAAAGAAAACCTTGAACTCTAATGAGAAGATCTTGCTCTTTCTGGGATCCTCCAGGTATTCGTATTTGTGCATCTCATGGGTATATTCCTTTCTATCACTTATTTATCCCAATTACCTTTATGTTCATCCCATATTTCAGCTACTTGCTAGTGCTCGGAGCTTTTTCAATTGTTCCAACTTGTGGTTTTCTGCTTCTCTTTGTGTCTTTTATTGCATAAAAATTGCCAATTTCAGGAACAGCTTCTTCATCTACCTGAAAGTAAAAATTGACAGGATTGTGCCCTGCCTCTTGTTGGGGTCAGTGCTTTTCTCCCTGGTTATTGGAATCATCGCCTACAACATCATGGATAAAGCACTCAGTAACAACTTCAATTTCACCTGCCAAGGAAGGATTTGGAAATCAAGTATCAGAATAGATCAACATTTTTTGCCTCATTATTTTATGTTGGGCTTTGGATATGCCACTTCCTTCACAGCAGTCATCTTGTCTGCCCTTCTCCTTCTTTTTTCCTTCTGGAGACACAAACGCAACATGCAGACAAACTCCATGAAGGACCTCAGCATGGATGCCCACATCAAAGCCATGAAATCCATTCTCTCCTTCTTCATAATGTCCAGCATCAATTTTATATGCTTGATCTTGACTCTCATTTATTCAATGAAGAATGAAAATCATGCGATATTTTTAACTTACTTAATTCAATACACTTTTCCAGGTTTTCATTCCCTTGTCCTGATTTTCAGTAATCCCAACCTGGAAAAGAGACTGCTAGGGATTCTGCCCTGTGGGAAGTGCAAGGTTTTCCTCAAGAGGGAACTGTAAGAAAGCCCAAAATCCCTGGAAAATGCGGAAAACAAGTCAATTTATTTCTAATGCAACACTCCCAGCAGTGTAGATGATAGAGGTGTTCATCTTTGAGGTTAAGAATATGTCATTAAAACTCTTTGATTTAACATTATTATGAGTTAAATTAATTATTATTCTCATTTAATTATGATAGTTCTTAGAGCTGAATTGTTGCCAATAACAAAGTCATTTAGACCTTGTACCCATGGCTTGGCTGCAAAAGAGCAAAAACAATTCTGCAAACCTGCCATAAATGCTTTGGCATTTGCTGATTGTAACAACTGAGCTAAACAACAGGTTTATTTCAATTCTGGTCTACATTTCTGTTCCAGTGTGATATGATGGGACGTCTCTGTACCTGGTCAATAACTGTGTAATATTAGGATCTCTATCACTGTCTGGCAGTGGTTGATAACTGATGTGTGAACATGTTGATCCCTGTCACTCTCCACGGGTTGTCACTGATGCACAAACAGTGATGCAGGAATGGCCGTGGGGGGCACAGGTGGGTGCAGAGCCCACTGCCCACACCAGCCCTGTGTGACCTCTCTGCCCCATTTGCTGCCAGAACAGGATTGCCCTGCTCTGTGTGACTGCTCTCCTGCTCTGCTTTTCCTTGTTTGTGTGCATCGTGCAGCGTGGAATAAAGTCCTGCTTTCAACTGGCACTGACCCACAGGCAGATGTACGGGGGGCTTGGGCCAGGTGCTGGCAGCTGGGGTTGCATGGGGGTCTCAGTGAGGCAAGGGCAGGGCTGTGCAGGCTGTGCCAGGGAAAGGCAGATACGGGCACTCCAGTGGACAAAGCATAGGACACAGTTCAGTCCATCAGCAATGGTTGTGGCTCCTTTGTGAAAATATATTTCAGAAAGGGGAGAAATACGGCCGGGCAGTGCGGAGTGAAGAACAATGTGGGAAACAGTCCTGAAGCAAACAGGGCCAGGGAAGGAAGAGGGGGGGTTGCTCCAGGTGCCAGACTGGACATTCTCCTGCAGCCTATGGAGAGGACCATGGTGAGGCAGCTGTGCCCCTGCAGTCCACAGAAGTCCAGGAAGCAGCTGAGATCCTTCAGGCCATGGAGTACCCCATGGCAGAGAAGGTGTGATGGGTGCATCCTGAACCATTGCAGCCCATGCAGTGGCCACTCTGGAACCACCTTATCCTGAAGAACTGCAGCCCATGGCACGGACCCACGCTGGAGCAGGAGAAAAGTATGAGGAGGAAGGAGTGGAGACAGCTCAATATGACCTGACTGTAGACTCCATTTTCTGTCCCACTGCATTGCTGTAGGAGAGGAGGTAGAGACTGGGAATGAAGGAGTGAACTTGAGCCTGGAATGAATGGGGGGAAGAGGCAAAGAGTTTTAGTTTGTCTTTGTTCCTTATCACTTTATTTTCAAATGGCAATAAATGTAATTCATTTTTCCCTAGTTGAGTCTGTTTTGTCAGTGACAGTAACTGGTGAGCAATATCCCTGTATTTATATTGACCCATGACTTTTTCAGTATTATTTTCCACCACACCTTTAGGCAAAGTGGGAGAGTAGGAGCAACTGGGTGGGTGTCTGACAGCTGCCCAAGGTCAACCCTCCACAGCAGGTTATCTGCACCTGAAATAGTTGAGGAATATGTTCAGTGGAGACAGCTCAGTTTGCAGCTACAGTGAGAGCTGCAGGTTGTGCTCTGTTTGGCAGGAAATGGCAGGAGCCCCAGGCATGGAGCCAAGACCCCAGGCTATTACGTGCATGACCTGGAAGGCTGAAAAAATGCCTGAACAGCCCTTCAGTGAAGCAATTTTTCCCAATATCCAAGGTAAATCCCCATGGTTCATCTGGACTTCTTTTCCTCTTGTTCTGTCCTTGTGGCCTGAGAGAACACACTTGGCTACAATGTCCTTTCAGGCAGTTGTAGAGAGCAATAAAATTCCCCCTGCACCTCCTTTTCTCCAGGCTGAGCCCCTCCAGCTCCCTCAACTGCTCCTCATCACATTTGTGCTCCAGACTCTTCCCCAGCTCCATTGCCCTTCTCTGGACTCTCTCCAGCATCTCAATGTTTTTCTTGTCATGAGGGGTCCAAAACTGAACTCAGGATTTGAGCTGAGGCCTCACCAGTGCCCAGCACAGGGGGACAGTCACTGCCCTGGTCCTGCTGCCACACTGTTGCTGAAACAGGCCAGGTGCCATTGGCCTTCTTGGCCACCTGGGCACACGCTGCCTCATGTTCAGCCACTGTCAACCAGCACCTCCAGGACCTTTTTCAACAGGCAGCTTGCCAACCACTCTGCCCCGGCCTGGAGTGCTGCAGGGGGTTGTTTCCAGCTTTCCTTTAGGTGCCTTCTCACTTTATGGTTCTTCACTTAATCCTCAGGCATTACCATGGGGAAACATCACATGGATTCCAATGCCTGTGAAGGATCAAAAGGAATTCCAGTTACAGCAGCTCAGATAAAATTTGTAGCTCCTGGACTCTTGGATAAAAGAGCACAGTGACTTCCTTGACTGTGCTCTGCTGAGAGCACACCCTGCTCACCAAGAGCATCATTGGTGGCCAAAAGACAGAAGAACCCAGACCCTAAATTCTCACAGGGATCAAACATGTGTCACCCACAAAATCACAACCCTATCCTCTGCACAGAAACATCTCTGCTCTTTGTGCTACCCAACACAGACCTCCTGAACCAACATGCAAATCCTGCACACTGACACTGACACCAGGTAAGGGGATACCCAGCACATTTACATCCCTGCACCTGCCCTGCTCTCAAGACCAGAGGCACCAAAATCCCCCCACCAGCAGCTCTATAAAGCTCCTCTTTCCAGACCTGACACTCAGGCAACAGCAGACGCTGACCTGTGTTTGGCATTGGTGCAACAACCCCTTGTCCAGCACAGCACTGCTCCCAGCTCCCAGGATGGAAGCTTGTCTCTCTCCAGAGCAATTCAATGTCACCTCATACACTGCCACGGCTGTGGCCATTGTCACCTTTGAGGCGTTTGCTGGCATGTGGATAAATGCTTTCATTGTTTCTGTGATTTGCATGACCTGGATCAAAAGAAAAACCATGAACTCTAATGAGAAGATCTTGTTGGTTTTGGGGTGCTCCAGGATTTGGTTTTTGTGCATCTCTTGGGTATATTGCTTTCTCTCACTAATCTACACCAATTATCTTCATGTTCATCCCATATTTGAACTTGTTGGGAGTGCTCAGAGCTTTCTCAATTGTTCCAACTTGTGGGTTTCAGCCTGTCTTTGTGTCTTTTATTGCATAAAAATTGCCAATTTCAGGAACAGCTTCTTCTTCTACCTGAAAGGAAAAATTGACAGGATTGTACCCTGGCTCTTGTTGGGATCAGTGCTTTTCTCCCTGGTCATGGGAATCATTGTCTACGATACCATTGATAAAGCTTTCTGTAAAAACCTCAATTTCACCAGCCAAGGAAGGATCTGGAAAGCAAGTATCAGCACAGAAGAACATTTTTTCCCCCGTTATTTTATCATTGGTTTTGGATATGCCATTTCATTCACAGCAGTTATCTTGTCTGCCTTTCTCCTTCTCTTTTCCCTCTGGAGACACAAACGCAACATGCAGACAAACTCCATGAAGGACCTCAGCATGGATGCCCACATCAAAGCCATGAAATCCATTCTCTCCTTCTTCATAATGTACAGCATCAACTTTATATGTCTGATCTTGACTCTCATTTATTCAATGAAGAATGAACATGCCATGATGCTGCTTCTCCTTATGTATGTGTATGCCTTTCCAGGTGTTCATTCCCTTATTCTGATTTTCAGCAATCCCAAACTGGAAAACACACTGCTAAGGATTCTGCCTTGTAGGAAGCTTTGCATGAGGTAGGAACTGCAAGAAAAGCTGGAGCCTTTGGAAAATGTTGATCTTTCCCTTAAGATCAACAGGTCATTTAATCTCTAATGAAACCAGGTCATTTAATCTCTAAAGGAACTTTCCAGCTATAGTAGATGATATAGATGTTCACTCTTCCTGATCTAACTAAAGAAAACTTCATTCACATTTACTGAACTAAATTATGGTGTGTTAAAAAATGATTATTCTGATTTGATTTAGATAAACCTTTGAGTTCTATTATTGTAATTAACAAAGTCATTTCGCCCTGACTGTAGGAATGAGGCATAAATCCCTGAGATATGTGGTGGAGGAATCAATGTGTGCATGATAATCTGCTGAGAGGCTGATAGATTATCCAGCAGAGGCCCCTGACCTCTCTGAGCCAGGTGGAAGATGGAGTGATATTAACACTGCTCTGTTCAGCCCTTGTGCAAGGCTCTTTCTAATCAAAACTCTTGATAACCCTCATTTGTATATAAGATGCCTGGTCCCTACCATTCAGGACTTCAGTATCATCACCACTTCTCCCAAAAGTATAAATTTGGCATTTGAAATCCTCCATGGCAGAGGATGACAATATGACCCCACTCTGTAGATGGGTCAATGGGATTGCTTCGCTCTCTGCCCCAAAAAGCAGGGATGCCTCTTTGGTAAGATTTGCTCCTCCAGCTCTGTCACATTGTGCCCTGGTGAAGTTGGGTTTTTAGGCTTAACTGATGGTAAAGCTTAATGAACTACCAAGTGTTGTTCTTTTTTATTTTTTTAAATATATTTGTGCTAATCCAGTAATTGCATTTATCAATGGCAATTCCAAACTTGTATTTCTGCAATAAAATGCATTATTTCTGAATCTGTGATCATGAAAGTTCTTACTTTCATTAAGCCCAGCCACACCCCAGGCCTTTGATCTCTGTGGACCAGCAGGAATGCAAGGGAGTTTATCTTCTGCCAAACTCTTATGCTCTTAATGTGACAGAAAAATATGCCAAACTGATACATGGGCTGGATGCCAAAGAGCAATAATGACACTGTAAACCTGCCACAAATGCTTTGGCATTTGCTGATTGAAAAGACTGAACTAAACAACAGGTTTACCAGTGTTTTAGTTTACATTTCTTGCTGCTGTGGCCCTGTTCTAGTGTAATATGATGAGCTGTATCACTGTCGGGCAGTGGTTGATAACTGATGTGTGAACACATTGATCCCTGTCACTCTCCACAGGTGGTCACTGACACACAAACAGTGATGCAGGAATGGCCGTGGGGGGCACAGGTGGGTGTAGAGCCCACTGCCCACACCAGCCCTGAGGGTCCTCTCTGCCCCACTTCCTGCCAGAACATGATTGCCCTGCTCTGTGTGACCGCTCTCCTGCTCTGCTTTTCCTTGTAGGTGAGATTGACTCTTCTGAGTGGAGTCTGACTCAGGAAAACACCCGGGAAAGTGGGTTTTGTGCTGGGTCAGGGGAGCAGTGAGAGGAGGAAGGAGTGGGGGAGAAAACTCATTATGAACAGACTGCAACCCCTATTCTGCTTTCCCTTGTGCTGCTGTGGGGGAGGAGGTGGAAAAGCTGGAAATAAAAGAGTGAAGTTGAGCCTGAGTTGAATGGGGGGTGCACACAAGGGTTCTAGCTTTGTGTTTGTTCCTCATCAACCCACTCTGTTTTCAATAGGCAATAAATTGAATTCATTTTCCCCAAGTCAAGTCAATTTTCTCCATGACAGTAATTGGTGAGTTATCTCCCTGCCTTTATCTCAAGCCATGAGCTTTTCCATCCTATTTTTCAGCCCTGCCCTGTGTATGGGTGAGTTGGAAGGAGCAGCTGGGTGGGAGACTGGCAGCTGCCCAAGGTCCAACCTCTACAGAAGGTCCTCTAAACATGACATAGTTCCAGCATGAACTGAGCAGAACCTGAATTGGTCATTTCTCTCACCAGCTCAGGTCCTGAGGTAGATCTTAAAAATCTCATCTGGACACATCTCCCCACTGAAAGGCCTTGAAAGAACAGGCACCAACACAACTCCCTTCTCTCCCTCATGTTGCTTGTGCACTTCCTCCTTTAACAGGACAGTCCCAGTTGATTTCACAAGACCCTGGAAGACCCATCTGATTCCCTACATCCCATGCAACATCATCCCTCACAACCTCACATACCACAACACGCAGCAGGCAAACCCAGCATCTTGCCAATGTCAGCACCACACAAAACAAGGCAGCCCCAGCAAACCACACTGCAGACACCTTCTACCATCTCCAGGAAAGCCCTGAGAACATGACACCCAGCACAGCATCACTGCCCTGTGCACCAGCCCCACTCAGCTGCACCTGGAGGGGACACGTTATCCACCAGCACAGCCACAGTGCACAGCCCACATGGAGAGATGCCCTGATGTGCCCAGCCTGGGGAAGCTGACCCAGAAGACAAGTCACAGGTCAATGGGAGGGGCTGCCCAGTGCTGGCAGGGTATGGAAACGGCTTTGGGTCACATTCTAAGTGTTCAGGATTGTGAAGTGAAACAGTTAGAAATGCTTTTGCCGTGCAAGAGTGTTGATGAGCAGAGGGATAGCTTAGCAGTGACATTAATATAACAAAACTCAATAGTAAATGAAATAAAAGCGGTCTGGAGAGCTGGACAAACTCTGCCTGTACCTAATGCAATTTATACAGGGCTACTTCTCAGGCTGGAAGGGACCTGAAATATCAGCTGGTTCCAAACCTATTGACATGGTGGGATAGAAGAGTCAGGAAATTTCCCTCCTTAGCAGCTGTTTCTCAGAGCATTCCTCTCCAGCTCTTCATGACATCAGCATACTTCTGTGAACACAGTAATCCAAATCTACACTCTCAATGATGTAGTTTAGATGAGCACCACATACCAGTAAGAAAATGTCACTCTGACAAGGATTTGTTCACAGAATCACAGAATCACAGAATATTTTGAGTTGGAAGGGACCAACAAGGATCATTGAGTCCAGCTCCTGGTCCTGCACTGGACCATCCCCAAGAGTCACAGGATGTGCCTGAGAGTATCATCCAAACGCTGCCTGAACTCTGTAGGGCTTGGTGCAGTGAACACTTCCCTGGGGAGCCTGTTCAGTGCCCAATCACCCTCTGGGTAAAAATCCTTTTTCTAATGTCCAACCTAAACCTGCCCTGACACAACTTCAGGTCATTCCCTCAGCTCCTGTCACTTGTCCCCACAGAGAAGACACCAGTGCCTGCTCACCCTTGTCCTCCTCTCACAAGGAAGTTGTAACTGCAATGAGGTCTCCCCTCAGTCTTTCCTCCAGCTGAACAGACCAAGTGACCTCAGCCACTCCTCATAAGGTTTCCCCTTAAGGCCCTTCACAATTCTCATGGACATTCTCTAATGGTTTAATATCTATCGGATAGAGTGGTGCCCAAAACTGCCCCAATATTGCAGGTGAGGCACTTCATCCCCACTCTATGTGAGCCCTGTCAGTGACCAAGGGACAGAAGAATCCAGTCTTGAGACCCAACAGGGATCAAACAAGGGTCAGACACAGAAACACAACACTGTCCTCTGCACAAAAACATCTCCACTGTCTGTGTCACCCTACACAGCCCTCCTGAACCAACATGCAAATCCTGCACACTGACACTGACACCAGGTAAGGAGATACCCAGCACATTTACATCCCTGCACCTGCCCTGCTCTCAAGACCAGAGGCACCAAAATCCCCCCCACCAGCAGCTCTATAAAGCTCCTCTTTCCAGACCTGACACTCAGGCAGATGCTGACCTGTGTTTGGCATTGGTGCAACAGCACAGCACTGCTCCCAGCTCCCAGGATGGAAGCTTGTCACTCTCCAGAGCAATCCAATGACACCTCATACACTGCCATGGCTGTGGCCATTGTCACCCTTGAGACATTTGCTGGCATGTGGATAAATGCTTTCATTGTTTCTGTCATTTGCATGGTTTGGGTCAAAAAGAAAACCTTGAACTCTAATGAGAAGATCTTGCTGTTTCTGGGATCCTCCAGGTATTGGTTTTTGTGCATCTCATGGGTATATTCCTTTCTATCACTTATTTATCCCAATTACCTTTATGTTCACCCCATATTTCAGCTACTTGCTAGTGCTCGGAGCTTTTTTAATTGTTCCAACTTGTGGTGTTCTGCTTCTCTTTGTGTCTTTTATTGTATAAAAATTGCCAATTTCAGGAACAGCTTCTTCATCTACCTGAAAGTAAAAATTGACAGGATTGTGCCCTGGCTCTTGTTGGGGTCAGTGCTTTTCTCCCTGGTCATGGGAATCACTGTCTACAACATCATGGATAAAGCACTCAGTAACAGCCTCAATTTCACCTGCCAAGGAAGGATTTGGAAATCAAGTATCAGAATAGATCAACATCTTTTGCCTCATTATTTTATCATTGGCTTTGGACATGCCACTTCCTTCACAGCAGTCATCTTGTCTGCCCTTCTCCTTCTCTTTTCCCTCTGGAGACACAAGCGCAACATGCAGACAAACTCCATGAAGGACCTCAGCATGGATGCCCACATCAAAGCCATGAAATCCATTCTCTCCTTCTTCATAATGTACAGCATCAACTTTATATGTTTGATCTTGATTCTAATTTATTCAATGAAGAATGAAAGTGACTTGATATTTTTAATTTACTTAATTCAGTACACTTTTCCAGGTCTTCATTCCCTTGTCCTGATTTTCAGTAATCCCAATCTGGAAAAGAGACTACTAGGGGTTCTGCCCTGTGGGAAGTGCAAAGTTTTCCTCAAGAGGGAACTGTAACAAAACCCAGAGCCCTTGCAAAAGGCTGATATTTCTCTGTAGAAAACAAGTCAATTAATTTCTAACGCAGAACTCCTGGCAGTGTAGATGATAGAGGTGTTCATCTTTGAGGTTAAGAACATGTCATAAAACTCTTTGATTTAACATTATTATGAGGTAAATAAATTATTATTCTCATTTAACTTTGACAGTTCTTGTAGCTGAATTGTTGTCAATAA